CTCCCCCACTCTCCTCCCGTGCAGTGCCGCCCAATTTGCATCCAGCGCGCCCCACTGATGCCCGATCGCTGGAGCAGCACCCTCTGCCCACTCGCCGACGTTAAAAGTGTGTGTGTGTGTGTATGTGTGTGTGTGTGTGTGTGTGTCTGCGCGTGTGCTTGTTGTGCCCCACCCAACAGGTTTGGAAACCGAGCGAGAGAAATGACAGCAAGTATCCAGAGCAGAGGATCTCACAAACACCCCCCCCCGTGTTTGCTTAGATTTGGAGGAGAGATCCCACGACCCGCCATGCTGTGGCCGCCAGGCCCCCAGGTGCCCCAGTGCTCCCTGGGGATCCCGCCTCGCGACGGCGGGTGACCGACGCCCTACAAGATGGCCCAGAGAGAGGCCTCACATGGCCCCCGAGAGGGGACCCCAAGAGAGCCCAAGGAGAGAGCCCCAGGAGGGCCCCTGAGGCACCTCGAAGGAGCCCCGTGGGGACCCCAGGGCCTCTCAGGATGGCGACGTCGAGTCGTGTTCGTTGTCGCTTGCGCCCGCATCGAGGTAAACGTGTTGTGGCCAACGTTCGGATTCGCTTCCGTTTTCGATCTAAACGCTAATGCATTGGCATCATCGTTGTGGTCTGTCCTTGGAAGAGCCCAGAGAGGCCCCAAGAGGACCCCAAGCAAGCCCCGAAGGGGCCCGGTGCTGCTTGGGGAGTGCATCTCGCGCCTTCGGCGGATGAGGGCCCCGCCTCGCCCGCAGCGACCAGGCCCCAGGAGTCCAGCGGCAACAGAAGGAACAAGCATCGCATCCTGGCATCGCTCGGGCGTAATCATTTTCTTCTGTCGGCGAGGGCCATCGAGGAGCATCCTGGGCCATGGAGCAACGCTGACACTCGCACGACGCCGAGCAACGATGCACAGGGAATGGACGTCCGAGCGGTGGCGAAGCATATAGAACAGGCGTAGCTCACACAGAACCCCACCAGGGAGGCGTCAGTGCGTCACGCCGTACGGACATCACGACGTCACGCCTTCCACAGACGTCTAGACGTTACCAAGAGCATACATCAAGAGTTGCCAGCAAGAACATACATCGAGAGCACATATCAGCATGCACAGCATACATTGAAACCGTTCCAAAGAGGGGGTCCACTGGTCCCAAGGGGGCTGGAGGTCAAACGTGTGTCGAGCAGTGGGAGGTCTGGGTCGGAGGCGGACCGGGATGTACGCGGACGTCTTTTGCAGGAGGTCTGATGGCGTGGCGTCCGCATTTGTCATCGGCGGCGGCGGCACGTTGCCGCCGCCGTTGTCGTTGTCGTCACCGCCGCCGCTGTCGTCGTCGCCGCAGTCGTCATCGTCGTCGCCTCCGACATTGTCGTCGTCGTCGTCGCTGCCGTCGCCGTCGTCGCCGCCGCCGCCGTCATCGTCTTCGTCCCCCCCCTCCCCCCGCACCGGTGGATGTCGCACTCCCCGTGGCGTCCACATTTCTCATCGCGCGCTCTCCGAATAATGTCCGAGACGGCTCATCTAGATGATAGCGGTGGGTCGCGTGAGCAGATGTGGCGAGTGGCGAACAGCAGAGAGCTGCCGCGCACTTGTTGGGCCCTCATCATCATCTTCAGTTCCCCTTCGCTTCGCTTTTACTATTCCTCCCTGCTTGTCTTCTTCTAACTCTTTATCCTCTGGAGGGTCTTGGCCTCTGAGCCACCCCAGGATACGGACGTTGTGTTTTATTGGGGGCTGGATTTGCAGACTCCTGAATTTCCAGACCAGTCGTCGTCGTCCTCGTCGCCGTCGCCGTCGCCGTCGCCGTCGCCGCCGCCGTCGCCGTCGCCGTCGCCATCGCCGCCGCCGTCGCTGTCGACGTCGCCGTCGCCGTCGCCCTCGCCGTCGCCGTCGCCCTCGCCGTCGCCCTCGCCGTCGCTGTCGCCGTCGCCGTCGCCGCCGCCGCCGCCGTCGCCGTCGCCGCCGCCGCCGCCGTTGCCGTTGCCGTCGCCGTCGCCGTCGCCGTCGTCGTCGTCGTCGTCGTCGTCGCCGTCGCCGTCGCCGTCGTCGCCGTCGCCGTCGGTCGCCGTCGCCGTCGCCATCGCCGTCGCCGTCGCCGTCACCGTCACCGTCGCCGTCATCGCCGTCACCGTCGCCGTCGCCGTCGCCGTCGCCGTCGCCGTCGCCGTCGCCGTCGCCGCCGCCGCCGTCGTCGTCGTCGTCGTCGTCGTCGTCGTCGTCGTCGTCGGCGTCGTCGTCGTCGTGTCGTCGCCACCGTCGTCGCCACCGTCGTCGTCCATCACCGCTCGTTCAAAGCTGTCGGCATCGTCTGGAGCAGCGGGATTCTGGATGGAGCGGCCATGGGACGTATACCGCTGCAGACCAGTCGCAGGCGAGGGAGATACGGGCCTGACCCCCCTGCTGGGCCTGGCGGCTCCGACATCCTCGTCGGGAGGTCACCGAGGCGATGGGTGCCCCCAGGGGGGTAAGCCGAGGTTGCCAACGATACACTTGCACCGATTCGGGCCAGGCCAGTCCTGCGCCCAGAACCTCGGTGAGCGTGCCCTCCTGGGCACGCGGCGGCGGCACATGCACCGATCCGGGTGCGCCCTGGGCTGGTGCAGATGCATGGCTGGCGCCTCTCCCAGGTACAGCGTGGATTCGCGGGACGAAACCTTGTTTTGTTGTGTGCCGCGTCGTGGCTCCGGTTCTTTCTCTTGAGACTCCTAGTTTTGGTCTCTGCCCCGCCTCGTGGCCGCGATTGCGATATCTACGCGACATCCTAACATTTTGGATGTCTTGTTTTGGGAAGTCTTAGTCTTGCGGACTTTGGAGAAGTCTTCGTCTTAGTCTTGTTTCTTAGTCTTAGTCTTAGTCTTAGTCTTAGTCTTAGTCTTAGTCTTAGTCTTAGTCTTAGTCTTGGATTTCTCGTTTCTTGTTGCGAGACAATCCCTGCGCGGAGCACCCCACAGCCGTGGCTGGATTGACGCCGCTGGGGATCCCGCCCCGCGTCGTCGACGAGGACGACGACGGCGGCGAACAGGGGGGCGGCGAACGGGGTCTCGGGCAGCGAGGGCGGCGACGAACAGGGCCGGGGCGAGCAGGGCTGGGGCGAAGAGGGCGGCGGCGAGCAGGGCTGCAGGGCGAAGAGGGCGGCGCCGAGCAGGGTCTCCGACCCCCCGGCTGCCCCAGGGCCGGCCGCGGCCGCGGCCGCAGCTGGAGCCGCGAGGACCCGCAGGAGGAGAGAGGGGGAGGAGGAGGAGGGGGAGGAGGAGGAGGAAGCAGGGGGAGGAGTAGGGGAGGAGGAGGAGGAGGAGGAGGAGGAGGAGGAGGAGGAGGAGGAGAGAGGAGGAGGAGGAGGAGGAGGAGGAGGAGGAGGGGGCCCCCCGGCGCCGCGCCTGGGGGGTGTGGGGGCCTCCGTCCTCTCCTCACGGGCGGAGCAGGGAGAGCCGCAGCCGCTGGGAGGAGGAAGCCAGCCCCATGACCCCATCGTTTCCACTGCTTCCGGGCGCCCGGGGGGCCTCCCGGGGCTTTGGGCGTGTCGAAGAGCGGCCCAGGCCGAGGAGCTGGTCCCGGGGAGAGGCCGCGGGGTCCAGGACCCGTTGCCACTCCGAGGTGAGGAGTGAGGGGGGGGGGGGGGCAGAGGTGGCCTTGGCGCCTAGCCCCCGGGCCGTGGCGCCATCAGAACCCGCAGACTGGGGCTCTCCTGGCCCTCTTGCAGGCCGTCCTGGAGGCCACCTGGGCCTCCCCGGACTGGCTGGGGGTCACCCTGGGCTCGTCGGGGGCGGCAGAGAGGGGGGGGGGATGACTAGGGGGGGGGGGATACGGGCCATGGCATCTGCGCCTCTTCTTATCTCATTGCGTCCCTGTTCCCCCTCCTCCTCCCCCTCCTCCTCCTCCTCCTCCTCCTCCTCCTCCTCCTCCTCCTCCTCCTCCTCCTCCTCCCTCTCCTCCTCCCTCTCCTCCTCCCTCCTCCTCCTCCTCCTCCTCCTCCTCCTCCTCCTCCTCCTCCTCCTCCTCCTCCTCCTCCTCCTCCTCCTCCTCCTCCTCCTCCTCCTCCTCCCCCCTTTGGCCGCGCACGTGCCGCTGGCCATGGTCTGCGCCCCTCCCCTCGGGCGCCCCGCCCTCTCGGCCGCACCCCGAGGGCTGGGGCCGCCGGGGGCAGCACCCGTCCACCAGGACCCGCTTCTGGCCTCGAGCTGGGCCTGCCCCCCGAATTGCAGGAGGCGTGCTCGAACTCAGGAGGGGAACAACACACACACACACAGGCACAGTTCACTCTCGATTCCAGGAACATATGGGAAAATATGGGAAGTGGGGGGGGAGACAGAACCCCAGAACATATGGGAAAATATGGGTGATGTTTTTATTTGTGTGTATTTATTTGTGTGTCCTGGGGCCCCTTCACAAGCATGGTCAAAGAATTGTCTGGGGACCATGTTTTGCAGATTGTTGTAAACATTTCTGGAGTATTTTTTTGGGGGGATCTCTTTGACTCCTCGGCCCAAATCCCCCCTGTCTGGGGGACATGCCCGACCTGCGAATTACAGGAGGAGTGTTCAAGCATGGTCAAAGAATTGTCTGGGGACGATGCTCTGCAGACTGTTGTGTAAACATTTCTGGGGCATGTATTTTTTTGGGGGATCTCTTTGACTCCTCGTCCCAAATCCCCCCCTGTCTGGGGGACGTGCCCGACCTGCGAATTACAGGAGGAGTGTTCAAGCATGGTCAAAGAATTGTCTGGGGACGATGCTTTGCAGATTGTCGTGTAAACATCTCTGGGGTATATCTTTTGGGGGGGGATCTCTTTGCCTCCTCGTCCCCAACCCCCCCCCTGTCTGGGGGACGTGCCCGACCTGACTCTCAGCCTGCCCCTCCACGCCAGCCGGCGAGGCCACGACGGCGGGCCCATGGCAGAGTCTCCGTGGGGCCACCCGCGGGCGCACCCCGGGCGGCTGCGCTCCGCGGCCCGGCCCGGAGGGCGGCCCCCCCCTCGCGGGATAGGGCGGCGCCCGTGGGCTCTGTGCTGCGAGCCGTCTCGGCCCGAGCCTCCGGGGCCCATCGGCAGTGTACGTCGCCCCTATGGTGGGCCCCGGAAACGGCAGGGCCGTTTTTTTTCACCGTTTCCAAAAGCGTGCCCCTTGAGAATGGAAATACGGCAACAAAAACGGCGACCGGAAACGGCAAAAGAACGGCCCCAGGATTGGAACCGGGGCCGGAACCAGTCAAACAACGGCGACGGAACCGGTAAAAAAACGGCGCCGGAACCGGCAAAAAAACGGCAAAACGGAACCGGTAAAAAACTGCCCTGTCGTTTCCAGGGCCCACTAAGACGTCGCCTTCCGGCTCATGGGTCGCCATGGATTCCTTGGATGCTGGGCGCTTGGCGAGGATCTGGGCCGGAGGGCTCTCACTTGGAAGCGACCGCACAGAAGCTTGGGAGGGCAAGCCACTGGAGAGAGGCGCTGCAGCTGTTCTGCGAGGCATCCAACACACGTGCGAAGCACAGCCAAGGCTGCTGCGTTGCCGCTATCAGCGCATGTCGGAAAGGGCAGCAGTGGCAATGGGCACTGTCGTTACTCAGCGAGTTGGTTGCATCGACTATTGAGGCCAATGTCATGGTCTACAGTGCTGGGATCAGCGCTTGCGTGACAGGTCAGCAGTGGCAGCGGGCCCTGTCGCTGCTCAGCGAGATGGTCGTGGCGAAACTTGAGCCCGATACCATCATCTATAACGCCGGGATGAGCGCTTGCGAGAAAGGTCAGCAGTGGCAGCGGGCCCTGTCGCTGCTCAGCGAGATGGTCGAGACGAAACTGAAGCCCACTGTCATCAGCTACCACGCTGGGATCAGCGCTTGCGAGAAAGGTCAGCAGTGGCAGCGGGCCCTGTCGCTGCTCATCGAGATGGTCGAGACGAAGCTGGAACACACTGTTATCAGCTACAACGCTGGGATCAGCGCTTGCGAGAAAGGGCAGCAGTGGCAGCGGGCCCTGTCGCTGCTCAGCGAGATGGTCGAGACGAAGCTGGAGCCCGATGCCATCAGCTACAACGCTGGGATCAGCGCTTGCGAGAAAGGTCAGCAGTGGCAGCGGGCCCTGTCGCTGCTCAGCGAGATGGTCGAGACGAAGCTGGAACACACCGTTATCAGCTACAACGCTGGGATCAGCGCTTGCGAGAAAGGTCAGCAGTGGCAGCGGGCCCTGTCGCTGCTCAGCGAGATGGTCGAGACGAAGCTGGAGCCCGATGCCACCTCTCCTACAATGGCCAGACCGGCGCTCGCGGAGCTGCCGATCGGTGGCAGCGGACCGGCCCTCTCCGGCGGACCCTGCGAGCCCCAGCAGGCCTCGGCGCGCTTCCAAGGTGGCCCACGAGCGTTCCGAGACGCACGAGGAGGCCCCCCAGAGAGCCCCCAGACGGCCGAAGACGGTCCAAGATGCTTCCACAACGCCCCAAATGGGCTCCACGACGAGCCCCAAGAGAGCCCCAGCACCGAAAAATCCTCCCATTACTGAGGGAAATAATACATGTTCGCAGTTCTCGACCTTGCCTTCTTCATAGCGTCCAAGACCTCATACAGGGGCCCAAGATGGCCCCAGGACGGCTCCTGAGGCGGCCCTGGCGGCCCACGGGGTACCCAAGACAGCCTCAAGAGCGGCCCAGGACGGCCCTAGACCCCCAGACGTTGCCAAGACTGCTCCAGAGACGCCTAAGACGGCCCCAGAAAACCCCAGACGGCCCCGGACCGTCTCCACACAGCCCAGGGGGCACCCGAGATAGCCCCAGAGGGCCCCAGGAGGCTTCCAGGAGGCCGAAAAGCGGCGCTGAGAGGCCCCCTAAGCGATCCCCAGAGGCCCCAAGATCACGGCCCTAGAAGCACCGAAGACGGCACCAACAGCAGCTCAAGAGGGCTCAGGACAGCCACAGACGGTCCTAAAACGGCGCCCAGCGCACCATGGGGCTCTGATGCTTGTTCGACGCTCCCTGCCGGATTTGGCCCAAAATCCCTCGCCCTTTTTGTCGGTCTGGAGCCTTCTCCGCGGCCTCTTGAGGCCATCTTATGGTGGCCCAGAATCGCCCCGCCTCGCGGGGTTTCACAGCTTCGGGAGGTGTTTGAAACAGGCCCCAGGGATCTCTTGGCGGGTCTCGGCCCTGCCTCCTCATGATAGGGAAGGTTTTCGACGCTACTTCGGTCCACTTCGGGCCATCTCCGGCTCCAATCGGCGACCATCTCGGGCCATCCTTGGGGCTTCATGGGGTAGTTTGGCGGGTCTCGGCCCTGCCTTATCATGATAGGGCAGGTTTTCGACGCCAGTTGGGCCCACCTTGGGCCATCTCCGCCAGTGGCAGCAAGCACGGGTACACACTAGTCAGCTACCGCGCTGGGATCAGCGCGTGCGAGAAGGGCGAGCAGTGGCAACCGGCCCTGGCGCTGCTAAGCGAGATGTGGGAGGCGAAGCTAGAACCCAACGTTATCAGCTACAGTGCTGGGATCAGCGCGTGCGAGAAGGGAGGGCAGTGGCAGACAGCGCTTGCGCTGCTGAGCGAGATGTGGGAGGCGAAGCTAGAACCCAACGTTATCAGTTGCAACGCTGGGATCAGCGCGTTTGAGAAGGGCGGGCAGTGGCAGCGGGCGCTTGTGCTGCTGAGCGAGATGTGGGAGGCGAAGCTGGAGCCCGACGTCATCTGTACTACAATTCCGGGCGAAGCGCGTGCGAGTAGCAGAAGCAGTGGCAGCGCCCCAGACCGCCCAGAGAGCCCGCGGGCTGCCCGGAGAGCCTCCAGGGCGCTCCTCGGCGGCCCCAGGAGGCCCTTGGAGCGCTCGCCGAGGGCTCCAGGACCCCCAGATCCAGATCGCCCCAAGGCAGCCTCACAGACGCAGGGCCGAAGCCGACCCGACCAGAGCCCCATGACGGCCCCAAAAGTCCTCAGAGGCGCCTCCCGAAGACCGCGTGGACGGCATCAAGAGGCAATACTTGTACATTTTCCGAAGGTTTCGAGGGTTTTCCTGTTCCCGCCGTTTCTAGCCTACAACGGCCCAGGATGGCCTTGGGGTTTCCCTGATCGCCATTGCACGGTCCAGGAGGGCCTCAGGAGGGCCCCCAGACGGCCCAACAGGGTCCCAAGACGACCCAAGAGGGCCCCAAGACGACCCAAGAGAGCTTCAGCTTCGAAAAGCATAGGGTTTTCGCTAATCGCGCTGGGCCTTTGCGCGATTGGCGAAAACTTGAAAGTTTTTGCCATTGAAGCACGCCGAAAGTATCCCTCACCCAGACCCGGAGGCCCCGGACACCGCCCGAGAGGCTTCGAAGATGCCCCCAGCAGGCGCTCACGAGACACCTTTCGGGACCAACGCCTGGACCTGCGGGCCGTGGATTTCCAACGGGTTAACATTAGTCTCTCCTATATGGCTATTGGAAGCGCGTGCGAGAATGGTTCACAGGGCCTCGTGTGCGCAAAATTGCCCCTTTCCGGCGTCACCACGGGGCCGAATCGCTCAGGCCGGTCCCAGAGGCGCTCCAGAGAGGTGCCAGAACGTCCAAGAGCGCTCCAGGACGGCCTCAGTGGGTCCCGAGACGGCCCACGAGGGCCGAAGCCTTCCGGGGGGGGGCTCCACGACGATCCAAGAGGCCGCAAAGACGCCCCAAGAGGGCCCCGAGCGCACGCTAAAGAGGCATTCAAATTCCTATGGGGAAACGTATATTTTCAGCATGCCCGCCTTGTGTGCTCCTCAGCGGCCCAGGACACGCCAAGAGGCCTCCCAAATCGCCCCAAGAAGCCGCCAGCGGCCCCTAAGAGGGCTCCAAGACGGCCCACAAGAGCCCCAAGACGACTCCAGAGAGCCCTGAAACGGCCTCACAGAACCCCAAGACGGCCCCAAGAGGCTCCCAAGACGGCCTCAGGAAGCCTCAAGAGAGCTCCAAGACGGTCCAACACATCCCAGACGCCCCATGACGCCCCAAAAAGGCCCCAAAACGTCCCCAAACGCTCCCAGAGCAGCCCGAAAAAGCATCAGAATAGCCCGAAAAAGACCCCCACAAGGACCACCAAGCAGACCCAGAGACGCCCACTAAAAGAGCGATCGGTGAAGTACAAAGCTCTTTTCACCAAGGCTCCCAATAGCGAGACGCAGCGTAGAGAGCTCTCCCAGGCACAGCTCCCAAGAGCGAGCGGTGACGTCGGGACACCCTTCCGACCTCTCACACAGGAGCACGCACGCACAGCACGCAAGCACAATAGATTTCCTGGGCTGTCCCCCGGAAGAGGCTCGGGGGGACAGCCCAGGAACGGCCCCAGAGGCGCCCCCAAAAAACTTCAAGAGAAAAGGCTCCCAGGAGGCCGCAAGACGGCCCAAGGGGGCCCCAAGAGGCCCCTAGGAGGCCGCAAGACAGCCAACGAGGCCCCAACAGGGCCTCAGGAGCTCGAAAAGAAACCCCGAGAGGCCCACTAACCGTTCCCGAGGAGACGGCAGCGCCCGCCATTAGGCTTCGAAGAGGCAACCGGAAAAAAGTCACCAGAGCCTTTGGGTGGCTTTTTCAAGGCCCCAGGTGCTTTCGAAATTGACAAGCGGCGAGATGTACACCGCAGACCCACCATAGTCGTCTGTGACTGTCTAGGCGGAGGTAGAGCGGAAGGCAGACGAAGAGAAGGAAGCGGTCAAAGAGGGCCTTCGAGACGGCCCAAGACCGCTCAAAGACGCTCCAGACGAGCCGCGGCAAACGAAACCATTGATTCTTTTATGGTATCTGAAAAATTTCCACCTTCTCGCCATTTCGAGCGAAGACAGGCCCAAGACGGCCTTTTCGAGCCAAGACTGGCCCAAGATGACGTGGACGAAGTCCACGGGTTCGCCCTAGTCAGCTACAGCGCTGGCATCAGCGCGTGCGAGAAGGGCGAGCAGTGGCAGCGGGCGCTGGTGCTGCTGAGCGAGATGTGGGATGTGAAGCTGGAGCCCGACGTCAGCAGCTGCAGCGCTGGGATCAGCGCGTGCGAGAAGGGCGAGCAATGGCAGCCCGCGCTGGCGCTGCTAAGCGAGATGTGGGATGCGGAGCTGGAGCCCGACGTCATCTCTTCTACAGAGCCAGAACCAGCGCTTGCGAGGAAGGCGCACTCTGGCGGCCTGGCAAAAGGGCCAGCGGGGCCAGATCACCCCTGGAGACTCCCAGGACGGGCCCAGAGCGCCCCAAGACGGCCCCGGAGACGACTGCAGAGATCCCCAGAGGACCCCAACACGGTCGACGAGACCCGAAGAAGCGTCGCAGGGTGCATCGCAGGCCCCACGAGAGAACTGGAGAGGCGCCAAGAGATGCCCCAGACAAATTGGCGTGCGGCCTCGAAGTTCCTCAAGGGACCCGCACGAGGACCCCAGATCGCCCCAGTAAGCTTCCAAGACGACCCACAGAGTGCCCCGAGAAGCCGCCAAGATGGCCCAAGTCGGCCCCTAGACTGCCCAAGAGTGCCCAAGTATGCCCCGACGGCGACCCAGGGGAGGCCTGAGTTGACCCGATGCGGCCCCGAGAGGGCGTCAAGAAGGCCCACGAAGGACGGTGTGGGGGGAGCGAGACTGGAGCCCGACATTCTCGCTGTTCTGATGCAGTGCGTGCGAGAGCAGAGTACTTTGGAATTGGGAGCTCCGGGCCAGAGCCCGCCAAGAGGCTTCAATGATAAGTCCAAGAGGGCAGGATAGCCCCTGGAGGGGTTCAGAGAACCCTGGAAGCATCCAGGGCAGCCCCAAAACAACCCTGAGACGGCCCCGAGACGACCCAACAGGGCCCCTGGCGTAGACCACCCAAGACACTGCAGGACAGCCCGAAGTGGCCGAAGAACTCCGAGGCGCTTCAGGGCATCCCCAGATGTCCGTCCCAAGGTGCCCCCAATACGGCCCGGAAGAGGCCTAACACGACCTCCCTATGTTTTAGCCCCAAGAAGGCCACAAACATCGAAGAACTGACATCTGCAATGCTTTTGGCCTGCTCGTCTTACCAGCCCAAAACTGTCCTCATAATGATAGTTGTCATCTGCTGCTTTATCCACGGGACACTTTTCAGCTACGAAGCTGGCGTCGGCGCGTGCGAGAAAAGCGAGCACGGCGTCCTATTGGTCGGTTACCAAGCTCAGCAAAACTAGATATGCACAGAAACTGACTTTCTCGCGCTGGCAGGTCTCTGGCAGTGATCCTCCAGTCGTTCGGCCGGGCAGTTCTCTGGCACCGATCCTCCCGTCGTTCGGCAGGGCAGGTCTCTGGCACCGACAAAGATAAGCAGGACCCGCAAGCGGGCTCACGTTGTTCTCAGCAGCACGAAGTGCCTCGAACGTGTCTGAGAGTTTCCCCACATCAAGCGATCTGCCACGAGCATGCTCTGCACCTCCGCCAACCTTGGGACCATCAGCTTAGGCAGCATGGAGCGTGGCGCCGTCTCTGGCCATGGCGGCCGAAACGCCCTTGGCCTGCTCGGCCGAGTCGTAGAGGCAGCCGTGGAGAGGCCGCGAGCTACACCTGCCCCGCCTCTTGACGGCTTCGGCGCCGCCCAGCGCACGCCGTAGCGCTGATGCGCCGCCGGTGCGCAAGGAGTGCGACTCGAGCCTGTCCGGCGGCAGGCCCTCAGCTGCTGCTGCTGCTGCTTGCCCGCGGCAGTGCCTGGGCATCGCTCGGACGTGTGTATTTTTTTCTTCGGCGAGGACAATCGAGGAGCATCCTCGATCCTTTGGCGAAAAAGCCACGCACGAGGCCGAACAAAAAGCACAGGGCATGGACGTCCGAGCGATGGCGAGGTGCGGCCTGCAGCTGCTCCCTCTTCGCCACCCCGCCGCCTGCCTCCGGCGGAAGCGGGGGGAGCTTGCCCTCGGGACTCTCTCGGCGGAGCGCCGGGGGTCGTGGGCGAGCGGCAGCTCCAGAGAGGCGCCGCCGGGCGCGCGCCCTCGGCGCAGCGGTGGGGATCACCACCCAACAAACCACCCCAACCCAACCCGAAGGCTCAGATTTACCCTCGATTTCCAGTGGGGGGGGGTCGGGAAACATCGAAAAAACACATGTGGAACCCTTACCCCCCCAACCCGAAATTCGGGTCTTCGGGTTGGGTTGGGGTGGTCTGGTAGGTAGTCAGGGGAGCCCCTGCAGGCGCCGAGGGCCCTCTGGTCCGCCTTGGCCTTCCCCCCCCCCCTCCGCGAAAAAGCCCTCCAGATGCAGCGGTAATGGAGGAGGGGTCGGCGCACTCCGCGCGGGCCGGCCGGAGCAGTCGAGGGAGGGCGTCTGGCGCGGAGCGCGACGAGGGGCTGGGCGGCCCGGTTCGTCTTCTTGCTGGCCGTGCCGCCCTTCTCGTCGTGCGGGGCCACGTCGGCGCCGCGGGTGCACACGCGGTGGCCGACGCCCCCGCGGTCGCCGAGCCCCGCCGCGCAGCCGAGGCAGAGGAAGCCCGTGGTGAGTGGGGCGCAGGATACCGCCGCGTCGAGCGCCTCGGCTCGGGCCGGGCGAAAGGGGGGCATTGGGCAAGGGGGGGTTACGACATTTGCTGCATGCAGCTGGTTTCGGCCTCACCGAGGGGCCCATTCCTCGATACATAGCCGCCTCTGGCGCCGGGAGGCG